ATGCAGTTTTCACACTAGGAAAATGAGGCCAATATATACCATATTCCCTGGTTCATTTAATGCTAAAATTCAAATAAGTTAAAGAGCAATACACTCAAAAGTGCTAGAATGAACTTCTATTAACACATTTTACCTCTTTGCAGTGAAGACTATCCCCTTCAAAACAATTTCTATTTCCAATTCTTCCAAAAACTGAATTCTAGTAGAAGGTATTACATAAAATCTATCAGGCATATGGTCTATATATGACTCTTAGAGTCTAAATAGCAGCAAGAAAAAATATCATGTTCTAGGAAAAAAGTTCAAGTGGGCTCCAGCAGCTTTGAAAAAAAAGAACAGGGAACTTCTGAGTTTCTGAGCTTCTAAGGCTCAGAGACGAAAAGACACTGCGCTTAACAATGCAATAGCACGCTACTAGATTATTATTTAAAATCACAGAAAACATATAGAGCAAAGCTTCTCAAACAATCAGGCACAATACTGTCTTTGTAAATATCCAGCACACCTGCCATACCTGCCTTTTCTTTTACCTTCCATTTTAGGGGAGCCAGGAATCCTTAACAGGACTGCAGAGAGCTTTCTCTCAGGAGATGCATCTTCTACTCAAGAGCCGAAAGAACTACAAGTCTAACTAAACCACCAAGAAATCTGTTATAATTTTCTGGTTTGTCTACAGGATGGGGAAAGGAATACAATACAATACTGTGAGATATTTGTCTAGTTCTTCTACTGCTCTACAATTACCACTTTCTCTTTTGAAACTGAATCACTTTAGACTGAGACAAATTACATAGCATATAAGAAGTCAACACAGTTAGAAAAATGCTGCATTCCACACAAACAGCGTTTTCCTAAGCCCTTTGTTTTCTGACAATGATAATTTCATCTCTTCCTATGAAACTGTTGCACTCTTTAAGAACCAGTTTTTGAAATCACACAACCTTTATTCCTTTATCACTATTAATGAAGTGTATTGAAATCTGTTTATTAAACATGCTCATTTCACTATTTATACTGAGGTAATGTGGAACTAAGATGCAATGCACCTTCAAACATTTGCATATGGTATATAATAAGTTTACCAGTAAGATCAGACACATACTACCCAATTCTTTCCCAACATCTTCGTTTGCTGGGTCCATATGTAAGCACTGCATCCCACAAGTCTATGTCTGGAGTTATGCTTGGCTCTGACTGAGAATCAGGAGTCAGATTGGATGCTGACTGGAATCCCTCATCTTCTGACTGGTCTATACTTTGGGGAACCTGTCAGAAAGAGTTCAAATGACAAATATGAAAACATTTTACTGAAGACACATTTATTAAAGAAAAAGCTTTTTTGCTATCATTCCTGACCAAATGACTCTACGTGACCCAATCTCTGTCACCTGCCCTCCCTTTATATCAATTTTAAATTTTTATTGTAGGCACTCTTTTAATTTGATGAGCCTCTATAAGTATTAATGCCCATACATAAAAGACAAATCACTTTCAAAATAACATACTACAATTGGTGGTGTTAAAGTTTATCTTTAAAGTTCAAAGCAAGCATATAGTTCTACAAATGGAGAATCTCTGGTATGGACATTCAGCAATATGTAACACTAATACAATCATACTGCTCTACTATTTGTTCCAGGCAAACATCCAGGCCACAAATCTTCAAATTTGTAAACATTTTGTTAAGTATGACTAACATAGCTTGTTTCCTAATTCATATGCAGAAAATCTGTAAATGTCCAAACAGTGTACATGCCACATCCTCAACTCCCACTCAACAGAAGACGTATGTGCAGAATTGCCCTCAATTTTAGTAAAAGACAATCATACCCATATAAAAAGCAGCATAGTCCTCAAGAAATTGCAAGTTTTCCAGTCTAATGAAAAGAGTTCAGCAGTAACTCAAAAAGATTCTATCTCCTCTAGGTTACAATTTACATCCACATGTAAGCACTGAATGGCACAGGGATTTTCTATTTAATGTGTTTGCCTTCAAGTTTCAATTCAGACCCTGAATTAAAGGAATTGCAAGATCTATCCATAAGTTAAGGGAATAATATGAGAATCTAAGGGTAGGCTATAAATAAGCCTGCCTACACACAGTAAAAATGGAAAGAAAGAAGAAAAACACTAAAAGTGTATCTAGTACTTCTACAAGAATAAGCCAGCAAAAATAAACAGAAAGGACAGCAAAAGGGAAAAAAGATACAGTAGAAACTGTACACACTGAAAAGGTAAGAGGACAATAGGAACCAGGCAATTCAATAGGGAAAAAAAAAAAAAACCAAAAAAAAATCCAAAAAACCCCAGAAAAATGCTTTAAGATACAAGCCAAGACAACAATACAGCAAGTTAGGTAATGCAATCTGAACAGCAAAGCACATACATTTAGAGAGGGATGTTTAGGCAGTCAGTCTGAGCACTGACAAGCAAGCAATAATGCTGAGGAGTTCAACAGATAAAGCAGGCAAAAATGCAATCAAAAGGTTGCTAGAGTGGGGAAGGTATGGATACAGCTGATGGTTTAAATGCACAAAGCCACATGATGGCCACATGTGGCCACATGATGGGTTTTGACAAAGGTAAAGGGCAACACCAAGGTTTTTGTTATCATACATTTCCAAAAACCTTGTCTGGTTCTCTACAAAGGAAAGGATCCCTGCTCCATCCTAAATTCCAGTGCTGTATGCTTCGATCAACAATTAAACTATTACCTACTTTTAAACTACAGTTTCAAAGTGACACATGAAAGCGTGCATGCACTCGTTAGTCCAAAACAGATGATACCGTACTTTAATTGCAAGTCCAGACAAATCTGCATTGTCAGGCACTGGTGGTAAATCCAGCTTGATGTCCATATCATAGGTACGGCTGTGGACAAGAGCACCGAAGAGCGAGACACGTGTTTCCTTCTCAAACCTGTCCCCAGCAGGACAGCTCTGTGAGAACAGCCCTATGGCAGGCAGCCCGGTGCCAGGTGCAGCCTCCATTATCTGAAGTGTCTGTTGAATTGTGTTATTGAACTGACATTCTTCGTTTGTTATCAGAGACTGTATGTCAGCTTCAAACACACTTACATCATAATAATCATAGCCCTGGTATTTGACATTCCTCCCAACATATTTGTTGTTTAGAAAATAGTCCTTTTTTTGTGGTATCAGCTGAGGAGGACCTGTTCCAGCAAGCTGTACTAAAAGGTCTAAGATAGAATTAACTTCAGTAAATGGTAAGCATTCAGCTGTTTCCAGTTCCTCCACAAGATTCTCCAGTCTATCCGCCTGAGCCCCTAGGCCAGCGACTCTCAAGTTGAAAGACAGCATCAAAATTTTGTTCTTCACTGGGAGTCTAGAAACATTTGATTGCAGCTTACGAGCCTCATCTTGAAAAAGGTTCATGAACAGGGCATTATAAGCAACTCTTTTCAAATTTTGCTTAGCCCTTCTCTTGCTGATCTTCTGCCTGCCTAAGTGAACCTTCCATGGCAAACCTGTCAAGTGTGCTTCACACAAGTCATTGAACAACTGTGTAATGCTCTCCATTTCAAATGAAACCGTCAGGTTTTGGCAGGTACAGTCTGGGTCTCCGATTTCATGGGAAGGAAGACCTGAAAAATATCAGGAAAAGGAAGAAACTCATTAGGTGTATAAGAAATTGCTGAGTACGCTTTAACTTGAACTGACACAGCCCATAAGAAAAGAGAACTGACCTCCCACATATTTAGGACATAAGCTATAAAAAACCCACTTTAATTTTTATCATCAGTGAAGCGATGGTGCAGGAAACTTAATTCCAGATTTTTCTGAACTAGACTGAAATAAAAGAGAGAAGAATGACTGATCTAATCCCGGGTTCCTGCGGGAACGAACACCTCTACCTTTCTCCCAGAGACATCCAGCACCTCCCTCCCACGCGGTGTCTGCAGCCGCGGGCGGTGATGGAGGCCGGAGGCGGCAGCAGGGCTGGGCCGCCGGGCACCGCCATCCCTGGGGCGCCCCGCAGCACCCACCCGGGAGCGGCGGCTGTCGGCCCCGCGGGGAGCTGCCGGCGGCGGGGCTCGCCCCGAGCATCCGGCTGGGCCCCGCGGGGCACACCAACCCCCCCGCACCCCGCAGCAGCGGCGCCCCCGGGGCTGCCCCCGCCCGTCCCGCCCGGGCCGTACCTGCGCGCTCCGCGGGCGGGCGGCGGCAGCGGGACCGCGGCGGCGCCGCCGCCTCCTCCCGCCGCCTCCCGTGACGTCACCCGAGCGCGACCGGGCCCGCCCGCCCGCGACGTCACCCGAGCGCGACCGGGCCCGCCCGCCCCGGCAGCGACACCCGGGCAGCTGTGGAGGTGAAACGCCGGCTGAACCGCTCTTCAGGGTTAAGCCATTCCTGCGCTACTCCTAAATGCTGTCGCGCTCGGCTGACAAATACACAGCAGAGTAGTGCCAGAAAGCAGTGAACCACGCGGGGCCCGAGCGGCGGGAGGCAGCTGCAGCCTTGGGACGGTCTTTTCAAAGAAATTTAACAGTACGCCATTTCTCCTCTTAATGGATGTTTCAATAAAGACTTAGAAAAATACATATCAAAATGCAAAATTAAGGTGATTCACACGCTACACAGTCCCTTGAATAAAGGCAGGGAAAGAAGAGTTATTACTCAGAAAATGCCTTTTCATTGAAAATGCTGAGTTTAAAAAAAAAAAGGGAGGGGGAGGAGGAGGTGTTTAAGGCAGACAGGAGAAAGGCAAAATATCCTTTAGCTAACTAATTTCCCGTTAGGAAAAATGCTGAAGCTGAAGTTTGGCTATTGGCCCGTTTCCAATTTAAATACCTTTTTGGACTTCAAAGGTCAGTTCAAAAAAAAACCTCTAAACTGAAACAGAATATCTTAATGCTCTTCAGCTCTTGGTGAAAAATCTTTCACATAGCTTTTCTTTTGAAACAGATTTTAATTTCAAATTAATTGTTTGCCCTGCAGCAATATCTGAAAACCAAAACAAATGTGAAGGGAAGCACTGTGAACAATTAAAAAAGACAACTGCAAAGACAGATTTAATTATTCCATGATATAAAGTTGAACCCAGTAGGAACACCAGTATAAACATCATTTGAAGTGTCTGAAATCAAAAGGTCAAATTATTGAAATCACAGTAACAAAAAAGTACTCATGAAAGTGATCCCTAAATCATACCTGAATACTACAAAACAAGGCATATAATGACTATTGCCTTGGAATGCTTGTTTAATTTTGAGAAATTACATGATGTGTCTTTAGGCCGCTATTAAGTCTCTGGAGATGTGGAGTTCTTATTTGTTATACTGAGAATTTATGCTTCAAGAGGGCAGAGTGAAGTCCTCATATTTTCCTTTTCTTCTTTTTTGTAAAATGATTCTGAAGTGAAATCAATTTCTGGAAATCTCATCCTTCACTGAAAAGAACAGCAGTAAGAAAACCAGTTATTACCACAATTCCTGACCCCACAAGAATATTTTTTTGGAACCAGACCCCTGGTATTGGGCATTTCTTCTGAAAGGAGAGAATGACATTTTCTTTTATTGATGCTCACCTTTATAATTGCTTTTTTTGTTGTTGAAAACCAGAAGTCATTCAACAAAGAAATATTTCTAGACAAGTATGCTTGAAAATATACATACCTGCCTGGCCTGATTCCTCTACAAATGCACTGCCTGATCTTCAGCTCTTTAACTGTACTTGCACTATGACTAATCATTATGGAGTTTATGAATGGACAAGTTAAACATTTAAAAATATCACCTGGTTTTGCACTGTATTCAGAAACCACATTAGCAATCAGAGCTAATCAGGGCACATCTTGTTACCCATTCTTTAAGCACATATTTTGGTTTCATTTCATTCCAAAATTTTGGAGTAACAGTATTCTAAGTCCCAAGGGTACAGTTGCTATGCTATGGAATTTGGTGCTTTCCAGCTCAAGTGGCAGAATTAGAAGCATTCAGAGTTTCAGCAGTTTCACATTAGATCAGCCTGGTGCCAATGACTTTAAATGTCCCACTGACTTACAGGACCCAGCTGTATTTATATCATCTTTCCAGAAACTTACAGTAACTTAACTTACAGAGTTAAAGATAAAATCAGACAACTTACCTGAACACTGAAGCATTTTCCATTCCTGCTGAAATTGGTCCCTCAATGTTTTTATTTTATTTACCTTTTCTTGGGTAGGAGGTACATAAATTCCAAAGGGAGGTGTAGAAGCACCCACTAATGCTTTGGCTACACTTTGCATTAAACTTATCTCTGTGTCCTAATTAGGAAGAAAAAAATACCCCTGTGAACCAACCTCTCTTTGTTTCAGTGATAAATGAAGTATTTTAAAACAAGCTTTTGTAATTAAATCACTAGCATTAGTAGCAAGAATGAGCAATCTTCCATTTTCAAATAAAAATGTGTCCAAACTGAGTTTTTTTCTGAAAACTGTAAATTAATTTTCATCTGTTGTAAAACTTTTTTTTTCAAATGGAAAAAGAATCTCGCTTTTCCCTTTATGACTAAAAAGAAATAATGCTGGGTTAAGGACAGAAAATATTATGAGGCTAAGGGAAGCATGGAGCTTGCTTACTTCATGCATCATTTATTTTCTATGAGTGGAAAATAGTAATATATTTTGCTTATTCAAGAAATTTACTCTTTTTGACTTCTCACAGTCTAAATAATTATCATTTCCTTGCAGAAATTTAATTTGAATTGTTGATGCTATATGAAGATTATATTTGGAAGACTGTAACAGATTTTTTTAAGAAATAAAAATATTTTTTCAAGTCCTCTAAAAAGCCATGTACATGCATTAGAAAATCATGATCCTGTTATGGAGCTACCTGCAGAGTACCAATGTAAAAGTATCAATCACTTTTTTTAACATGTCTGCCTAATATCCTTTTATTGTCAGAGTTTACACTTCAGAAATCAGTAATTCTCTCAATTTCATACTCCTAATTAGCAGTGTGCAAATACATTATTTATGGATACTGGATATCAATGTACAAATTATTTTAGCTTAGCCAATTTATGTATCAGCATTGTAAATTAAAACAAATAACATTGAGAAAAATACAGAATAAATTATGTCAAAATCCACTTAATTGGCAGCTTAATGAATAGCATGGCTTTAATTGGGTACTTGCTGGAGAACAGATTAGAGTAAGCCTACATGAACAATTTTTTGTTGCTTCTCATTGTTGAAGAACTAAAAGGCACAAAAGTAATCAAAAGTTACTGTTTCATAGATCACACAGAGAAACTGTGTTACTCACTCACACAGAGAAACTGTGTTACTCACAACCACAGGATACTGGAAAGGCCAGGAGTGGAAATTGAACTCTTTATGTGATTAGACAAATTCATGGAAGCTACACTCACTGACCACTGCTCTGGATACAGCCTCCAACTCCTTAATTTAGGCATTCTTAATGTGGTAGCATATGGAAAAAACCTAAGGAAAGTCCCTACATTTTTTCTTTCCCTGCTCTCTACCTGAAACACAAAGCTGGGGCACTCTGGCCCTCAATTATGTACCATCTCAATTAAGTTCACTTGAAGGATATGTTCCCTTCTGATTGATGTACTGCAGGCTGGAAGTTGTGTGTGACAAAGCACAGCACCCGGGAGAGGAGAGGAAATTTAGTGGTCTGTTATGAACAGAACAGTGTGCTGCTTTCAATCACATCTGATGGAAAGAGGCCAGATATTTAACAGGCAGGAAATGCCTCTTTCCAGGAGACAACTGAGCTGTGGATCCCAGATAAAAATGGAAGTTGTGGCAAACTGACAGAACATCTATGGCTCACAGACATAACCATGGGTTATGCCTTGAGTTCATGCCTCGGCTTCTCCACTGTGCAGGCTGCGACCGCTGCCTACAGCCTGGTGTGCAGCTGTGTCCTGTCTTGTCTTCAGGACAGAAAGAACCTTGGGCAGTTTGTGCTGTGAATTCAGGGGTACCAAAGACAGCCAGTATTTTCTACTGGGAGACCTGAAGCAGTTCATACCAGCGTCTCTGCCAGGCATACCATGGTTTAGCATCACTTCTTACCTCAATCACAGCAAAAATTCGAGACTCAGCTAATCCTCGTAGTAAAGCAACAAGCAGAGAAATCCCACTTATTCCAAGGTTCCTGTTTGGTCCAACAGCTATTACTGTTAGGTTTGGTTGATAACTATATGCTACAGGAAGAATTAATCCAAGTACAGCAAAAAAGAAATCATTTCCTTCAGCATCCTTTAACAACAAAAACAACAAATTAAATATAAAGCTCCAAATTCCCAGATATAAAACAAAACAAAAAGGTGACTCTAATAAAGCTTTTGATTGGCCTAGGAAACAAGATACTGATCTATTTTCTCAGCAATTTTTATATTAAACATGCAGGATTATTCATCTTTTCCTTACTGTCTTTGCAGTGTAAGTCTGCCTTGCTAAAGATGAACTGCAGTAACTATGTTATGTTTCCTCCAACCTATGCATTCTAACACACTCTAAAGCTGTGGGAAGGAGTAGTAACCTGACAAGGGCAAAAATAGGAATAATTTTCAAAGGTCTAAAGTGGAGTAAGGGGTGTAATTCTTAATGTAATTTTCTAAATTTCTAAGTATATTCTATTATTTATTTCTCCTACGTTGTTTCTAGAAAGTGAATCTTACCTCTTTCCAGTTTAGAGAAATATAGTGTTTGCAGCTGGTCTTTCTAGACTGTTCTTTCTCACAGATGTTTATGACAAGTATTTTTCTGTAAACAAAAACCCCACTTGAGTATTTAACCAATTATTTCTCGATGGGATAAAAATGGGATATTTTCTTCCGTCATTCTTTAAATACTAATTCATAATACAGAAACAAATAACTATTTGTATTACTACATTTCAAAATGTAAACAACTAAAACTGAAATCCTTTTTATGGTATTTTTAAAAAGATTATTAAAGACTATTGGCAAATTACTTTGAAGAAAAAGGGGAAGTGGAAAAAAATAATATACATATAAAATTATATATAAGTATGAAGACTTTCAATAAGGAACTCTGCATCAGCAATATGTGCCTCCTGCAGTTACAGGGGAGATAGCTCTCCTATTTAATTAACAATTGCCTTATTTATTTCATTGTATTTTCAATAACAATCTAAATTTCAATCAATACAGAAGGATTATACTTCAAACCTACCACCAAATGCATGAAATAGCATTTAGAGACAATAATTTTTCTTTGAAGATATATTTGGGGATGTTTTGTATTATGTCTCAAGCTAAACTTCATAAATGTCAACCCATGACTGACTCCTTAGTGCAGATTTCATCACACATATAGATGTGTGATATAAAGCCCTTGGGACTGTACCCCCTAATGTAAAGGGAGGCCTCACCCATCTTCTGTGTTTGGTATCATCTGCATGTCTCCAACAAATACACAAAGCACTCTGCAGGAAACAAAAATTTATATATATTGACAAGTAATTTTTTTTTTGTTAGTGCAATTTATATAAAAGTTTGTGTGCAGATTAGAAGCATTAAAAAGAATGTATATTGAATTTGGTCCATTAAAAGTAGAAATAAAACACATTTAGGGCAGCTCAAGGGAACCCCATTTCTTCCATCAAATACTGGGGAGGAAAAAAAATCTCAAGAAATTGTCCCTAGGCCAAAGCAAATTGAAATCTGACAAAGAAGGTGTAGCCTAGCATAGCCATCATCCTTACATATTTTTTGCCTTTGGAAAGGCAAAAGGTTGTTGCTGGTGTACACATTGTTACCTGGATTACATGCTGAAAATGCTATGTGTGTGGGCATGCTATTTATTTTAAAATCAACGTTTCACAGGCAATTTGCCATAATTGCCACACTTAGTATTTGATTTTAACATGTTGTCAAAGGGCTCTAAATGCAAATATAAAAATTCACCTTTGAAATCCAAAACGAACAGAATGTCTTAGTGCAACAGCAGCAGAAAGAGCAGCTGAGGGTGATGCTGCAAATCCATTACACACCTACAAAATAAATTTTTCATTCAGAAGGAATGCTGCGAAAGATCACAATTTTTAAAGTGTAACAGCTGTATTAATTATTTTCTACAGAAAGGCCATATTTGATTATTATTCCATAAACTGCACTACTATTTCAAAAGTATGGTGCTGTACCAGAAGGCAACTGTCAAAATAACTTTTCCAGGGGAAGGCCATGTTCACTGGGTCTCTATATAGTCTGCAGAAAAATACACTCATTGAAAAGCAGGTTGTTTCTGAATATTCTGATTTTTCCTTTAACCTAGGCAAACTATTATTTTCTGGAAAATACAATTGCCACATTACTCAGTCAACCCTTGAGTATTCTTTTGTGGTGTGTGCTTTGAACTCTACATAAAAGCTAAGCAAAAAGATATCTTTCCCTCTCATTCCTCCTCTCTGTCAGCACAAAAAGTTAACTTACATCTGCAATTCATTGTAAGTTCTACTTCTTTTTACCAGTAACCATTTCTTAAAATCTATTTACAGGCTCTCCTGGAGCTGTCTGCAGTTTATGTCAGAAATTTGTCCCGGGGATCTTCACATGTGACTTCTAAGATCAAGATGGCTTAGAAGAAGGAGGCTATTGTGGTACTTACTCTTCCCTATAGGCCTGGTACCTTAATGAGAGCTTTTCACTCAAAGGAAGAGTGACTTATTATGATGCAATATTTTAAACTTGTTTTCAGTTCTTCTTCTATGCTCATCCAAGTTTTTACACATAAATATGAAGATGCACCCTCTAAGCCTCCCCTCTCTTCATTCCTGACCCTGCAAGAATCAAAATACTGAACTAGAATTACTCTGATCAGAATTGGAGCATACAGCAGAGCTGTTGACAATGCCACTAAAGAGTACGAGTGTGCACACACTTGTAAGTCAAAATTTACTGTATGAACTTTGCACATTGAGACAGGAAAAATATTGACATTTTTTCAGATTTCTTGCTGTTGTTTACTAGTGTTTGATACAGCAACTTCTGCATCCCTCAACTGGAAGACTTAATGCCTGTCTCCCCCGTGAGTCTGAGAGCAATGAGTAGGCTCTTGGGGACTCATTCTGTGACTACCTACAGAAAGTCTGGATAATGAGTTGCCCAAAGATGATTAGAAAGATGGATTTGGGTTAACAACTATACTTAAATAGTAGTTTTCCCATTTTGCATGCTCACTCATAGCTAAACACATTATAGCTGAGATTAGTGGACTTGGGAGATAAATAATAACTAATATTTGGGTAACAAAATAGTAGAAGCAAAATATCAGAGGACTCCCACTCCACCCCTACCCCCAAGACAAAGGCAGTATATTATTACCTCCTTCTTAAGTATTTTATCTAGGATCACAAACATACTGCCAAGAGAGAGCAAAGTTTTGTCCTCTTTCACAAGGTCTGCATAAAAGCCACTGTAAAAGAAATTACGTGAAGAAAAACTAGGTAAGAGGCAATACTGTCTTCAAAGAGGACACTGATAAAGTGTTTTGCAGCTAGTATCAATGACACCTATACATTTTGTATAGGTGCTAGACATTGATTCTCAGAAACATGCTCTAGCAGGAAGATGACAACACCGGTGCCTGACAGTCTTCATCTCCCTAAACCTGTCTCCATTCTGCACTGTAAAGAAAACAAAAATGTCTGATGATATTCAGGAAACAGAGTCCTGTCAAAATTAGATGAAGACAAGACAAAACATTGCATTTCTCACATCAGAGCAGTTTGGTATTTTTTCCAGCTAAAAGTGAGTACAGAGCTTTAAGACAGCTTCCTAGCAAAATCTCTTTCTAAATTAATACATTCACATTAGCTGTCCTATCGCTATTGAAATAGTTATAGAGAAAAAGTATTCTGATTATTTCTTTAAAGGATTTCAGGCTATAAGTGCTATACAACACAAATGTCTTTATTTATAAAGGAAGAAATTCTGGCTGTAAGTGGGTAGACTAAGGCCAAAAAGATGACCATGGCAGACATAGAGCTAGATGACAGTCTGTATACAGAGACCTCTCATACTCTGTGGAAAATAAAATAAATAGGACCAACCTGACAAGAGCTTTTATTTCTGTTTTGTCCATTTCCTTCACCAGCTGAACATGTTGAGGAAAAAAATGTTCTGAACCTTCAGAGCCAGTTGTTGCTGTTTTGATGGGAGGCACTGGAAATAGAATGTTTTTCATGTGCAATTCCAAAAACCTTTCTACTTTGGCAGTGTTGTTGTTTTTAGTTATCCGAGATTCATCTTCTGTGGAGGGATTTGAATTAGCCTTCTTTAGTAAGTGTGATTTAGTGCTCAAATTTTGTAAAAATGATGTGTCTAGAGAAAAAGAAAGAGGTGTTTCACAGGTATTAGTTTCTAAGCAATGTATTAATATTTGGATATATTTATTCACAGAATAGAATACATCAGTATTCACAGTATGCATATTTACTTCCATGCACTAGCTACAATGTTTCCTACACAGATGTTTTCTCAGTGCTACTACATTTGTTTTAATCTAGTGAAAGGCCATGTATTGTAATAAGGCTTATGCCTGTATTTTTGACACAGAAAACAGCATCCTCAAAGATACCAAAGTGCTACTTTTTGACATGATGTTTGCCAGCTTCATAAAGTTCTTTTCAGACCAGCTGAAGACAAGACCTCAAATGAAGCCTCATACTGCTTCATCAGTCACTTAATGAATAATTGCTTGTTCAATTAGTTTAGTCCACTGGTATTAATTTTAATAACTTTCAACTTCTGTATAAATCCATTTATCAATAGTATTTGCTTGAATGAAGAGAAACTACCTTCATAAGCCAACCATTTCCAGTAGGATTTATGTGCTGCTCTCACATTTTGAATAGATTCAACAGCACTAAAAAATAAACCAGATTAACAGTATTAGCAATATTGAAAATCATATGAGGAATCATAACTTACCTCAACAAAAAAACAAAACCAAAAAATCAACTGAAAATGAACAAACTCTGATCTCTTCCAAGAATGCAAAACAGAACAACAGTCAATGGGCACACTGCTTGAAAAGATTAAGAGAGTCAAAAAACAAAAGTGAAGAACATATACAGCATGTACACACATTTACACAGTGAGTGAAATCCCAACCCTGCTGTTGGAGGAAGCACACCTGTATGAGTTCAGGAAAAAATTCTCCTGTCTGTCAATGTTTTATCAAGAGATTTGATCTACACAATGTAAAGATTTAATTAGATTGACTCAAAAGCAAGACAATCTGTTCAGGAACTAAGTATATCACATACCCTGCTATTCTTTGTGTTGAAGTCTCCTTTTTATTATCACTGGTATTTGCAGCACTATGACCAAACGGTCCCATTGCATTAGCTGTCATACAAACATAATTCAGGTTGTGTTAAATCCAGAAGAATTTCCATCTATGTGCAGATTACTAGTAAGGTGTTCAAGAACTGGACTGATATGCTGGCTAAGTACGTAATCAACTATCTATGACAAAGGATGATAGCAATCTGAGATATCACAGCTGGTACAGAATAAAAAGAGGACACAGAGAGCTTATGGGATGTACTAGGAGCAAAGGAACCAGTTTTGCTCCATCAGTTTACTAAACTCAGCCCACAATCTATGTATATCCACACTGCTTCCCTGACTGATTCAAGCTCTGAGCTTTAACTTAACACAGCCAACTGGGAGGTGCTGCCACCAAAGTGCATGAGAAGCATTTCTGCTAGAAAAAGCACAAGACAACTACTGAGCTGGGAGAAAGATGGAGGACAGAACATGGAGATGTGGAGGAGACAGCGCAGACAGGTAGAGAGAAAGACACTCTTTAGATGTGGGACTGATTCAGGCCCAAGGTTCAGAATGCTTTCTTAGGTCAGATTCCACCACTGTACAGTCTTAGTGTCTCTGAAAATAAGTTAGACTTGAAATTTAATTTTCTTGGTACAGCTCTACATAGCAACTGCTTTTTCAGCCCAGGCCTCGATGCTCTGAATTCCAGAAATACAAGTATTCATCAAGACTGGCTTGCACAGCATCAACTCTCACTGATGAGAGAAAGGTTTGCCCCAGCTATTGTTGTACCACAGTGACTGAAGTGGCTCTGGGGTCTGAAGCACTAAACCTTGCAGTTGCATACATTCCCAAATACTGGCTGTAGATAACTGGTATTATCCTGATTACAGCAGAATTATCTCAGCCTTGAGTGGGATGGATTTCTATAGGATAACAAAGCCTAAGGATAAAATGGCTTATAGTTTTATGCTATAAGATCTCACAATTTGAAGTAATTTCAAAAACAAAAGTATATAAAACTGTACCTTGGTGGACTTTTTAAAAATGCAAGTTATCCAAAGTAGAAAATAGTATATTATAAACTACAATATTAAAACCTTACTTCAGCAAAATGTTCAAAACATGAATGTCTTTTAGTCTCATTAAAGTTGTTCAGTCTCATTTTAGTTGTTCTAAAATTCTTCAGATGCTTACCTTAGACAAGGTGCCATCTCTCCAGTTATTTGAGGTACAGGATCTCCAAGCAAAGTTCTTACAGTCATGCACACTGATTCACCCAATGATTTCAAGTGGTATCCACCCTAAAAAGTATTTTGTGTCAACTAAGGCACAAGTACTTTTAATATCTCTCTGAATTACAACAGAGAAAATAAAGTATCCTTTTGAAATGTATCTGTATTTATAGAAACAGAAGATGATATCCAAGTATATCTAAGTCAATGATTTTTCAGTATGAAAACATAACTTAGTGGCCAACTGCTGAACTTCACTGGCATGCCATGATTGAACTCACTTTGTCACAGTTCAAGTAACTTCAGAAACCAGTCATTACTCTGCCATAAAAAAATATGCCTTCTCCATTCCCATCTACAACATGCCATCTTTAACAATCCCTGTGAAAGATTCCTGAGAAGGCAAATGCTATCACTAGCCTCTAAAATGGCTTTACAAGAGAAATCTCCCACACTTTTAACATGTGGTTGCCTAATAGTTTGGCAGAATCTGGAGAACAAGATGGATTTAAGACTGGTAGGTGACATGCAGGAAGCCATCTATCACGTATGGAGCAGTCACACCATCTGTGGTAGGAGTGAATGCTTACTTGCACTTCAGCTAATATACAAAAATGTCTATAATAACATGCTAGAAGAAAGGTAATGCAAAACACAAGGTCAAGTGAATCAATTAATACACAATTCACTCTTGAAGACCTTGTTAGCAGCAATATTTCCACACACTTATTTACCTGAAAAGCCACTATTTTTCTAACATGCAGCTGAAATAGGGGGTTGAAGTCTAGATTTCAAAAGGAGAAAACACTTTAAATTGTTAAAAAAATAATAAAAAAGATCTCCTAAGGAGCCTGCATACAATCATTAAATCAAAAAAGAGGAAATTTTCCAAGTGTTCCATTACTAAGTAAGAGTATATTTAGGTTAAAAGTTTTTATAAAATCTCCTGGACTAAGATACACTTGTAAAAACATTGGTATTACAGCCTATTCACTAAATACATTTTAATGGGTTTGGGACTGTCAAGAAAAGTAGACTAATCACTGTTCACAAGAACTGAACAGTTTTGTGGAAGATATGTTTTTTTGAATGATGAGTATATGGCTCCTTTGTTTCAAAACTCTATAGTGTAAGAGCAGTGTCAAATCTCAGTCATTTTAGCATTCCTAGTACTCAAAGAAAGCTAAAAATAAGAAATTATTTTGTTAAGCAGTTTCACTTCCTAGCTTCTAGTTTGCCCTAAATGGCTCTAATACAAAGACCTTTCCCCTAGGAGTATATTTCAAAAGTCTTTACCTCTAGGATGACACACAGTTTTCCATTAGCTAACTGCATCAGGAAATGGGTAAGGTGGGCAAAAACCTCAGGAGTGGCATTCATCTGACCCTAAACCAAAGAAAAAATTTTAAGAGATGACACCTTGATTCAAAAACACTGGTAAGAAACTCAATCTGAAGTACCCAAGTCTGAGATGGAATACCAGAACACTTGCCTTTCCTTGTATCAAACAGAATGCTGAACCAACTGCATTTAAGGAATGCGAAAAAAAACAACACAGTAATTACACAATGTGACGGAATAACCTGTCTTTAGATGTCTTGTAATGTTTAATGAACTTGGGTCAGACTAAAAATTCAAGCATGTGTTTTTAGCTTGATCAAAGTGAATTTCACTTAGCAATCACAAGACATTAAAACAGCAAGAATATTTTCCTAATAGATTCATGACTGACAACATAAAGACCACAAGTTACTTACTTCAGGGTCACCAATTCCAGAATCGTATCCAGAGGAGACAATAACCAGTTCAGGATCAAACTGTTATAAAAGAGAGATAGCTGGAACACATCTTTATGTCCTATTTTCAATTTTGTACAGGCTTTCAACTGTACCATGATCAGCTGTTATTTCAATTTGAACATGAACACAAGTAAGGATTCTCCTTGAATACATTATCCTCTTGTACTATTTTTGTATCTGCTGGAGAAGTTGCAGATGATTATGTTGAATATTTAAAAACTAAAATTCCATAAATACTATTCAGTTGATAAGGGCAATGTCATTCCAGCAGAATATTTACTATGCTACTGGCAATTACTGCATTTTTGTAAAATATTCAATGGTACCTGCTTAAGAAACACTTAGGAAGTGCTCTTTGGCAGTAAAAAATTACCTCAAATGCCATCGGAAGCAACACATGGAAAAAAGCAGCAAGGTAATCTGAATTTCCCATCTCAACCTGAAAAATATGAGAAACACGGGGCATGTTTTCCAATTGGAATGATAAATTTTCTAAGGTTCTTCAAGACTTTAGGGAAATGTTGCACAGGGAAAGATATGGGAAGTTAAAGATGAGGCAATCTTATGAAGTACAGTAAAAAATCCTCTATTTAAGTAAAGTGCGTAAATATCCACCATTTTTTATCTTAATGAGCTTCAGCTCTCTGTTAAACAAGGATGGATGTAATCACCTCCTGAAACACTTTTTGATTTGATGGCTAGACAAGATATTCAAGTAAAAATGAGTGTGTAAATTCTTCTCTCCCTTTTCTTGTTTAGACATTATCACATTCTGAGCCATATTTTTCCAGCAGACCTTCCCCTGACAGGAAGAATATACACTGTGTAAGACATTTGCCAAGCAAGTAAAGCAGTGCACTTACTCAAAGTGTCACCCAAAGGATGATATACAAAATTATTGCAAGAGCTTTGCTGTATTGTAAATAATATTTACCTTATTCCAAGGCAAATTTACATTAAAACCTTTTCCTTTTCCCAGACCTACAGCATCATAATCGGATTCTCTGAGTGATGGCCAGAACTCCTGATGTTCATAACGATGCCAAGAAAAGTACAAAACACTGGAAAAAAAAAAAATCCAATTTGAAAAAAAGATTGTGGAAATTATTTTATATTCTCAACCTGATGACTGCATTGCCCAAAAACAAAAAAATAAAACTATCAAAACTATCCTATCCTTTCTCCTTAGTTCTCTCAAAGGATTTAGACTGAAAACTGGTACTATGTTAAAATTAACACGCTAAAAATGTCTTGTAAGCATGCACTCTACACAGATCGAATACAAGGAATTTTCAGAACAGCAGGCTTGTTTCTAGAACCTACTTATGTTGGTCTTCTAAAAAAAAAAAGTTCATATATTTTATCCAACTATTACTTGAAGACTTTAACTGAGAAATTCACTAACAGAGAATAGATGTACTACCACAGTAGTGGCAAACCAAGGTAATCACATAACTTATTTTGTTTATTACTCGTTAAAGTAGAACAGATTTATATTTTATTTTGATTTAGATATTTCCTTCTATTTTGTAACAAATGAAAACCAGAGAGACTCAAATAGCAAGATGAATGTTTCACAAGACTCTAGTTTTAGAAGTTTAAGAAATCTTATTCTCTAGAAGGGCAAGCAATCTTTAAACAGCTGACATTAAACAAGAAAAAAAAATCCTTCAAACCTTGGATCTTCTTCAAATATATATTGAGTTCCTTGCCCATGGTGCACATCCCAGTCAACAATTAGGATTCTGTACAGATCAGTAAAAGAAAACATTCAGAGGAAGAGCCACAGCATGTTAATCTACAGAAGGTTTAAAAGAAAAATGTTTTTTCTGAACAAAAGGAACATGACACCCAGAAAGCTCTAGACATTAATCTAAACTAGTACAATGTCAAATTGTTTACATACTAGAGTCAACCATGCACTTACCTCTGCAGACCATACTTCAGTTTTGCATATTCTGCTGCAATAGCAACGTTGTTGAACAAACAAAACCCGTTAGCTGTATTTCTCTGGCTGTGGTGACCTGGAGGTCTGAACCAAAATTTTAGAAATTATTCACAGCAGAAGGAATTTTGCTAAGTGAAAACTTCCTCAGTATTTTCTTACCTGACTAACGCCATTCCATTGTGCACTTTCCCTGCCATCACAGCATCCACCAGCTGCAAAGCTGCTCCTACTGCTAGTCTGGCACAGCGGTAAGTGCTCTGAGAAAGAGAAACTCATCAGCTTCAACACGGCATCCATGCCATGCTTTAGCATCCCAACAGCAAACTGGCTTGACAGAATTCTACCCTACTGAAGCTATATGAAAATATCTGAAACAGAATTTTACAACACATGTTCCCATGTGCTTTCCCCTATGACTACCAGTGATCACCATAATCTTTATAAGGATGCTCTCTGTGGAGCAGTTAAAAATGTGAGATGGATGTACTGAGTGGAATAACATGGCATCTTTGAAAATAAGGAATTAAACCCTACAGAAACATAACAGAAAACTTCATCTCAATTTCATGGCACAATATTTAAGAGCAATTGTTACCAAAGTGTGATTTGCAGGTTATTAATGGTCTATAGTGACAAAAATAAGAAGTGACAAATTAAGTGACAAAAATAGAGCTAAAATTTGAGTAGTGCATTATACTGGTGTGATACGATTACAAAATAGATGACAGAACACTTGAGCAATTTAAATTACAGCATTCTACTAAACTAGAAACAGAAAATGACAATATCATAAATAAACATGAGACTACATAAGTAGCAAAAAAAGTATTTTTAATTTTTCCCCTTCTTAGAAAAATGCCACTCTGGTGCAGTAACACAAATAGTTTTAACTCCCAACAGAGGAAGCAGTTTAACTTACACACCGGATGAAAGAAAAAAGCATCATAATTTTTGGAGACCCTTTTCAGCTCCTCTTCATTCATTGTCTGAGTGCTTTTTGCCACTTCCAAGTGCTCTAAACTGCAGGAGAAAGAGATTAACACAACACTTAAGTAAACAACTATAAATATTTTTTAGAAGTTTACTTGTATTCCAGTGTATAAATCAGCATTCATTGCTTAAGACCCCACAGAGTGAGAATGTAGATTTGGTGGAATAGCAGATTCATAATTCAGCACTCAACATTGTGACACATTTTCCATTGAAATTAATGGAAGCCATTGAATTTTTGAACACTCTTTTCAAATAGATCAAAATATAATCTGGAGGTATGAGATCTGCTGTTTCATTGAATTAATCTGAATGAAAGTTAAGTTTCAGACCTGTGAACCAACAGGATCTCCTCCTCGCTTCCTTCTCTGGCAGGCACAGGGACACACCTTTCCACAAGATGGTAACTTCTAAGCTGCTCATAGGAGGAGGAAAGTCTTTCTGGCACTTCAATATCACAAATGGGACTAAAAATAAACAATAATTATATTACTGTAATACTATACCAACACAAGTAACTAATGCACTTCATAAAGCCTAGCTTTAAAAAAAGAGAGATACATGAGAGTAAAAATGGGAAAAAAATCTTTAAGTATTTTCTGTTTCAGAACTGAGTTAGAAATTGATTCTAAAATATGTAAGCAAAAACAAATCATAAAAAAAACCCAAACAAGCAATACAATAGCATCATTTTTTCTTTCTTCTCTCACTGGTAAAAAGTTGCAATGCTTAGCTACAGACATGGGAATGCTGCAATTGAAAGCTGTAGGTTACAATGAAGGTGAACAGAGAAGAAGCAGGTGTGGGAGAAAAGACAACAATGGATTGTTACCCTAGGCACTGTAAAGGAACTCTTCTAAATTATACTAACTTAAGTAATATACAAATTTCTAACTGAATGTAATTTACATGTTTCAGCTGAGTGAGTATATCTACACACTTTTCCAAGGTCAATGATACTTTAATTTTATAAACAATTTAATTAGCTTAAAACACATTATTTAGAGGGCTACTGAGACATCTCATCCTAACAAGTCTTTTTAAGGTCTCCCAGACTGAATGCCGGTAGCTTCTCAAATCCAGTTTCAGATAATCATTACGTTATCTAGACACAATTTGTGAATAAAATATTTTTTTTTCCTCTTAGAGTTAAGACTTTCTTTTTACTTGGAAATTACAGGAAGTACCACCAGATACTTCCTATCACATTTACAAAAAATGCATGTATTTGGTATTGCTCTCACGACTCCTAATAAGAATCCAATAATAAAAACTATAGCAGTGACTTACTCACTCCAAAGTAGTTTGTGAGCGGTCATCTCCTCATCATAAATCAGCGCTGTTCCTGAAGCCATTGCTACAACCAAACAGAACAAGAACACCAAGACACATATTTCACATCAGAAGTAAACTTAAACCAGTTACTATTACAATAGATTGTCAGAATGTAAGTACAGAGCATCCGTGCTAGCATGATGATTTTGTACTTTACACTTTGTACTTACAGAATTTACAGAAGGACATCAAAGAAGAACATTAAGGACTCAGATTCTGACAAAGCTGCGCCGCCGAAACGGGGAGCAGGCAGGGCTCGCAAGGAGCGGGCAGGGCTCGCAAGGGCCGGGCAGGGCTCGCAAGGGCCGGGCAGGGCTCACAAAGAGCGGGCAGGGCTCGCAAGGAGCGGGCAGGGCTCCCAAGGGCCGGGCAGGGCTCCCAAGGGCCGGGCAGGGCTCGCAAGGAGCGGGCAGGGCTCCCAAGGGCCGGGCAGGGCTCGCAAGGGCCGGGCAGGGCTCGCAAGGGCCGGGCAGGGCTCGCAAGGAGCGGGCAGGGCTCGCAAGGAGCGGGCAGCGGAGGCGCCGAGCCCAGGCCGCCGCCTCCCCCATGGCACACAGCCTTACCTGCGCGGCGAGGCCGAAGCGCCGGGGGGGAGAACCTCAGCTACAAAGCCACGAATAGGAACAGCAGCATTTTGTACACCACGCGCACAGCAGGGATCTGTCTGGTTTAGAACTTCATCGGTCTTTCACAAACCCCAGACAGACGCTAAAGAAGCCGACGGGCAGACAGCGGATGCGAGCGCCCCGCGTGCCCCGGGCGCGCTCCGCTCCGCCGCTCGGCCCCGGCCCGGCCCCGCCTCGCGGCCCCGGCCTGGCCCCGCCGCTCGGCCCCGGCCCGGCCCGGCCGGCGCCTTCCGAGGGGAGGGCGGGGCGGCGGCGCGTCCCGGGCCCGGCTGTGGGCGCGCCGAGCGCAGCCCCGCCCCCGGCGCGCCGGCAGCGCCGTTCGAGGCGCGGTTCGGATCGCGGCTTGAGTCGCTTTCGAATCGCGTTCGAGTCGCGGTTTGAGGCGCGGTGCGAATCGCATTTGAACCGCGGTTTGAAGCACGGTTCGAATCGCGTTTGAGTCACGGTGCACAGCCCCGCGGCCGGGGCAGGCGCGGGCGCAGGGCCGTGCCCGGGAAGTGCAACCGCTGGAAGGGTTTTAGCGTGAACATTTAGCGTGGAACTGACCCAAAAGCAAAACAACCCCCAGCCGCGGGCTGTGCGGCATTTACTGGCATAATGAAAAAGAAAGTAAGAGCCTGGACTGCAAGGTGACTCCTCCGTTCCCGCAGTGACGTGGCCCGGGCGCTGGTGCCTCTCCGGCCCGTCCAGCCGGCACGTGTGTGTACACAGCTTCTCCCATTATTGACCGCTTCTTTCCTCGGTTTCCACCTCTTTCCCAGTTCATGGTAGAAACAGGTGGAACAGTTGTCATCACATTCAATAACCTGATACAAACCTGCACTTCTGGGGAATGTATCAGAAACCCAGATCATTACAGGTGCGAATTCTAGAAATCTACTGCCCATAAACTTTCCTCGTATTTGTTTCAAGAAAATATAATAATAGACACTGTATTATTGAAATAGTTTCTAATTTATGTGTTGCCAGCTGTTAATGTGTTTGTTATACACATTTATGAAACTAAAATTAAGTCAATTTCTGTCCATGCTCGTGTAGTCTTTGATGTCAGTGTATTGCACTGACCATGAGGATGCTTATCATGTGCCTAATGTATATATTTTTTTTAATATTTTGACTCCAATAGTTCCCTGCGACCACTTGGAGAACGGGTAAATTTTATAAATTAACTTTTGTAATGTGTTTGAAAATGAAAAGGGACTTTTCAGTAGAAGGGATCTGATTTATGACACCCAGTAACTAAATATTCTTGCGACTGGGGCAAAACATACTGTGTTAATTATTCTTCTCTTTATTCCACTCTGATTCCGGCAAAAGCGACCAGCAGAGGGCTGCCTCCTTTCAAAATACTCCAACGGAGACAATTGAGGTGGATTCATGAAACATTAGGCAGGGAAAGGATAGGTAGCTGGAGAAAATGACAGAGCAAGTGGTATAGGCAAATACACTGAAAGCAGTCAGCTGGATTTGAAACTGGTTTATGCTGTTTTTTGCACATATTACATTTTTTAAAATCATAACTCAAATAAACATATATCCCTAGATGTCCAAGTTCAAACAGGATGAGCTGTAACACTACCAAAAGGAAGCTTGATAACAATGTGGTTTGAGTTCAACTTACAATACAATTTAAAAGGAAATGAAAGCTTTGTAGTCAACTTATAATACATTCATATTTACAAGATAGGTTTGGCATGAGAAATATAATCATCTTTTTACAAATAATATGATAAATATTTACAAGCATTTATGGTATCTCCACTTCTGAGTGGCCACAGTCAGCTGGGAGTCCTTCCTCTGCCAGCGATAAATCTGTTTTACTAAAATGATGCCCTCTTCAATATTCCCCACAAGGAGATACACCATGGGACGGTGGGTTGGAGTCATCCTCTCTATACATTTTTCATTAATTAGTAGCCACTGTTGTATCATGCTCTGAGTTTCGTAGGGCAAGAGTGAGCCCTGGGTAATGAATTCCACCTGGCATTCAATGTTATACTCTTGGTCCTCAAATGCTGTTCTCTTCTTGGACAGCTTTACTTTCACTGCTAAGGAAAAAGGAAAAGGAAATGCAAGTCAGATAACTTCTCAAATACAATAAAAAATAATACCAGTGAAAACAGAAAAATTCCTTAAAAATGTTATCATACTTTATGTTGACAGAGTATGGTGAAGCCTCTTCCAGCCAAAGTTTAAAACATTTTTGGAAAATAAATTTTATGCAGTAAAGGATTTTTTCCCCCATTGAATTAGATGACTAGGAAAAAATATTTTCACAAGTGTAATTTATTTTTACCATCAACATGTTATGTCAAACTTCAAGTAATTACATGTTGTAAGCTTTTGGTCTTATTCTTGTATCACAAAACTGCCCAGCAACTGCCCAAACAATCTTCCTGAAACTCACCATGTCTATGTGTGGTCTATGTGTGGAATCCCTAGGCAAAAATGGCTTGTTGATACCACCCTTTTAGATATTCCCTTCTCATTATAGGCATCTACCTACCCCACCTGACTCCATCCACACTTTTTAGCATGACATTTGTCTGTATTTCTTGATCTAATGCTAGACAAAGTCGCTGGAAGCCTCTGCATTCCCATTAAAGGGCTTTCCAGGAAGTCTCTAGAGCAATCTCCACTCATCACTCCAACAAGAGAACTGGAGATAAGAATTCCTTCTACTGATATGATTTTCTGAATCTCCTTCTCAGTAAGTTACATATCACAAACTCATCCACAAAAGTAGCAAAGATATACCATATACCATATACTTGTAAAACACCAAAGCTTTACTTTCAGTTTAAATGCTAATAAAAGGCAATATTGCTTATTTGGCTGCTTTTGACAGAAATATTTTCCATAAAGCATGTTGTAGCCAACTAGACCAGAACAGGTATTTGGTTGGAAACTAGATCACTGATAAATCTTTCATGCACAATAAATCCTTCTTATATTTAGATTAGAAATAACTTATTTTGAAAACCAACCTAAAGCTAAGTTAGCAGCTAAACTCTTAATCCTTTGAAATCCCTGCAGAAACTGTCACTAATTGTAATCCTACTTTTAAAGCATTTAGAAGAAGAGTTGTTACTCTCTTTTACAACAGGTATATTAGCAAGGACTTACCAAAGTTACTGTCACAGAAAACTTCAAGAACTCTTTTGTGTGTAAAGAATTCCTCCACTGCTGGACAAGTCTGGCAGGTAGGCTTTGGTAGGACTGATAAGAAATTACAAAGTCTCATTGTTATCTTTTAGAATAATTTGTTTTAATTTTCTGCTGCCAAAGCTGAGAGCCCACTGTTTAACCACAGGAATGACAGCCAAAATACACATCAAATACAAGGCCAGTGATAATAGGTAAAAAGCCAACACATTTCTCTGAAAACAAGGCTAGAGATGAAAAAGAGTTTCATTTTCCATGCCCATTCAGCCCTTGCTCTGGCTGACAAGATCAATTATCAGCAACAAATAACGTAACAAATACAGTATAATTTTTAACACAACTACAGTGGGTGTAAGGGGTTAGGTGGCTGATTCTGTCTGTCACTCTGGGTTCAGCTGCACTAAGCCTGTGAATATACATAAATTTGGGTGTGCTAGCAGCAACTTAATCTTACTCTTTTCCACAGAATTACGAAGTGTGAGTGCATTTGAAGATTTGAACATTAATGCCAAGATAACTAATGCTTCTTTGAGGAAAATCACATAACATCATCCCAATTTTACTAAACTGATCTGAAAACTAGCTTGTTGCATACATAAATGCATCTGTGATAAGGGCCATTGATAAGTCTACAAAGAGACCCCAAAGCAATTCAAACATGGTGTGCTGCTGTGTGTATGACACTGCAGGGTGACAATGCCTTCCTCCACACCACAGCACAGCCTCTGCACTGCTGACTTGCAGCGCTGCAGGTCTGCTGCAGCTTGCACTGCCAGCGCTGCCACTCTGCCACCCATCTGCATGAACACGTGCAGAGGAAAGCTAGACTCGACTGCACTGACAAACCCACAGAACGTCTGGGAGCAGAGTTCCCTGTGTCTCCTTGATTCCCAGGAGCACAGGGTACGGCCACCCTCCCCTCCGCCACCTTCGAGCTACCTTTGTGCAAGTGTTTGTAGTCCCTGGTGAGAGGCGCCAGGCACATGTCCTCGTCTGCAGGGAATCGGTCGCAGGCCAGGCTGGCCGGCCAGCGGTGTCCGTGGCACAGGAGCGCGGGGGCGCAGCTGTCACGGACAGCGGCACACATACTCCTGCAGGGATGGATGAACCTGTCGTGGCAGGAATATCGGCTGAGTCAGCTCAGTGATAACAGAAACTATCGCAACAGTGATTCCTGCGCAAAGTGCATCATCTTTGCTGACATTTAGCACCCTTCGATAGTGATACCATTCCAAAAGCAGCAGCCATGCAAATTATGCAAGCAGTCTGTGTATGGACTGAGCTTACAATGTTTAGTTATGATTTTAAAAATGCGTATATGGCAACCTGAGAAAAGCTTCAGTATGAGCCTGATTCTATTCACTGTAGGTGCTTCAATCCTAAATGAATAAGAATAAAGTTCAGCTGTAACAAAATAAAACATTATATCCTTTGACAACACCATTCGTGTTCCCAAGGCAAACTAAAATTGAAGTGGAACAAGTTTTCAGTACTTTTTTTTCTGATGAATACAAAAAAGCTAACAGAATTACTTCCGAAAAAGTGGAGATCACCTTTAGATTATAATAAACATGCATTTGATTTTATTCCTATTCTAGCAAATAAAGGCTGGAGTTTTGTACTGTGCTGTGATACTTACGTATCTAAGCAGATGGGTGCAAACAGAGAGCACAGGAACGTCCTCACGTGAGGGTGACAGTCTGTGTGTACAAGGTGCTGCCAGGTGGTGGATTTTAGGATAACTTCTGCCATGCTTGTGTGTCCCATCAGGTTGGGAAGTCTCATTTCAGAGTATCCAATATTGTGGCACATGCCCATCTCCTTGGGTATCACTACACATTTCGTGGATAATCCAATGTCCAAAGCTGTTGCCAATCTTTGGGGAAAAATCACGGCAAAAAGAAGTATTTTTGCAGTCAATAACATCTTCCAGTGACTTCTGGGCTGTTGAACAGGGAGCTGTCAAACCACTCAAGTGCAGAGGCATGCTGAAAACCTTGTGGCTTATATATCCCAAGAGCTTAATGAACTGTTGGTTATCAACTGCTTATCAAATCACTCGAGACAAGACCAGGTCTTATTGCCTAATGAAGGGATTGTTGTGACAGCCAGGGAGGTGGAGAAAAAGTATAGATGTATGTTCCCCAAGGACACTGATTTGGGTCCCACGGTGTCAGTGGCTGCAGTATGCTATGTAGCATATTAAACTTTGACACCTGGAAGGTTCACCGTGCTTTCAAAAACAAATTAAGAGATCCCCCAGAAACAGGGTTGGGCAGACATGCTGTCTCCTGGGGCTTCTGTGTCTCCTTTGTTTTCAGACACTGCTGACATGACAGAAAAAACAGCCCAGATTGACTTATCAAGTGAAAATGTTTTGCTTGTGCTAATGGCCCATGTCTCTTCCACTGTTTTACAATGGAGAAGAAGCACTTTCTTTTGTCAAGCACTGTAAAAGAGACAGACTCCGCATTAACCAAGTATTTTGACTGGAAATTTGGATTCCTATTCTGTGACATGCCAAAGGCCTCAACTTCTTTTAATAGATGCCTGAAAATACAGAATTGAATTTGTAGCGCTGTTGTGACTATCAGCATTTATTCAGGAAAGTTCAGTTACACATTTTTATTATTTTGAATAAAGCTGTCTACATTTAAAAATGCTCAAATAATGCAGCATTTCAACAATTTATTAATAAATTATAATGGCATCAAAGTGTATGAAAGCAAATTATACCAGATTGCGTACATTTTCTGTTCATAGCACAAAAAAATTGTGTTATCACTGTTAGTGCAGCTCTTTGCTATAGAGAAATTGAGAACCAATCAAGATGAAAGTAATGCATCTCAGTAATGCATAGCTTACCTGTTATGAATAGGAAAGTCAGATTATGAGTTTTAGAAGCTGAAGATCTAAACAAAGCCTCTTCTGGAGATTTTTTTTATTTGATGAAAATACTTTTTTTTCCAATTAGTTATGTGTGTTACTTTTTATTTCCACACCTGGTTATACGATTTATTAGCAGAAATGTCTAGCTATTAATAATTTGTATGTGGATCTACTGTAAAATATGTCTTGGGTATTAGGCTAAAATAAGTATGTTCATAATAATGTATCATCTAGTATTACTGATGCTTGATTGAAATTTTTTCAGAAACTATAGCTTTTTGTCCTTATACTGAGATTTAGCACACTTAGACAATGCATCGCACATAATTTACATGTTAATACTTAAAGGTTAGGTTACTAATCCTAGCATCTTTGAAAACAAAGACAACCCCCTACTGATTCATCCTTAGCTGCCTTCTTTACTCCAAACTACTAGTAAAATTACAGTATCTGTTTAAATAAGTATAAAAAAATGACATCATGCAAGGTCCCAGCAAATAAAAATGTATTTAAAACAATTGTCAGTTTTTCTTCTCATGCTTTGTTGCCAGACTTGGTGTTTTTTTTTTTCCCAGCAAATGTGGCTCCTCTGTATCCCTTACCTTACCCCAAAGCAGAGGAACTGAATACCTAAACAGGCTGTCTTAGGCCTGGTGATAGCTTCCCTTTGACAGGTGCTCCATGCATTTCTGAGGAAGTTAGAGCCTGCAGTAAAAGCCCCATGCTTGCTAAATCTATGCAGGTATGTCTGCAGGCCACACTTCCACACAGCTGCTCTTGCTACCATTGTGCAGTGAAACGACTTCACAAAGTTGCTTAACCCAAGAAGAGGCAGGTCCTGGCTGAGCCAGTTACACAGCCCTTTGTCTTGTAATTTTATGAAATTAATCAAATTCCTTTCTGTCTCCAGTGATATTCCTCTGTAATACTTCTCTCATCTGATTGCTATCTCTAAGTAGCTGGCAACATCTCTGTGTAAGAAGCCTTTCTCCTACATGAGGAGCATGGTATTACATGCAGATTTCTCAATGGTACAAAACATATAAAGTATTTAAGAAAGAGTAAGAGCATTATAAGAGTATTATAAGAAAGAGTATTTGGTCTCTCAATTATTTAGATGTTTGTCTCTCTGTTTTTCTCAGTGACTGCTTCACAACCTGTAAGAAAATTTGATTCATCTTAAAACCTGACTCAGCGTTGTTACTCCAGCTAAGGAGGGGTTGCTGGGTCTCTAGCTGTGCCCTTGGTGCTGCTCTGCAGGAGGAGGGTGGCTGTGTCCTTCCAGGAGCCTTCAACCAGCCCATGCCTCAGTTGTGCTGGGCTGAGCTCTGGCTGTACCCAGAACCTTGGCTGCTGATTTGAGAGGTCCCCTGAATCACGACTGATGGACAGAACAGAAGCAAGCATAATGAGAGCATGTGAGACAAAGATCATCTAACATACCTATCCTGGCAAACTTAGTCTCCATAGGAACTGTCTTACAAATAAATAATTGTGTATCTCTGAGTCAGCCTCCTGCCAGGCTTCCCAAGGAGGAGGTGATTTATGAGCCACTGCAGAGCTGTGCTTTAAAGTTTCTTTTAGCCTCTTAGAGGCATCCAACTATCTTTTGATGCTTTGCTTTTGGGGAGCTGACTTTTGGTAGACTCAAGGGCTGAAGAATTGCCACCAGTTTCAAGAGGAAAATATGCCCAAATGCTTTTGCTGGATGCCCATGACTGTACTGGGTCCAAGGGTGGTTCTGAAGCGAGATCATTATCCATAATTCAGTAATTTTTGACAGCCATCTTCTGTCAGGAAAGAGAATAATTTATGCGAGCTTCTGATTCTCTTCTGGAAGTGACTTGGTTCAAGTGGGTCAAATTTCTTACCCTGTGCTGTTTTCAGTGTCATATTTTTTTAAGGAATTTACAAATTTGATATCCTTTTCACTCCTGGGTCACTTTTAAGTAAGGGACAGGGCTTTGGTTCAGGCTCAATTATTTTGATGTTCTTCATGAGCAGATGTTACCTTTGAACTTGGTTTGACAGGAAGCCTTTATAATTTTAATTTTAGCAGGACTTGCAGAACAGTTATTAAAAGTGAGCATGCAGAATTGATTGCCATTGGTTGGAGAGTGCTACAGGTCAGCAGATGTTGGCAGAAGCATAACCTGCAGCACCCATGTTGCTGTGCCATAAATTCTCCATTTCTTTGCAAACACTCAGCTGCTCATTTCACAGTGGGGAAAAAACATCAACCGAATATACAAACAGATTGATTTTGTGAACACAGTAAACTGTTTTACTGTTGCCACACTATCACAAACATTCAAACTGCACAAAAACTGGTGGCTCAGTATTTCTGTTTGTAGTGATATATGTCTGTAGAGGGTGCTTGAACAAGGACTGACTGAAGTAAAAAAAAAGGATTATCATGGCAATTGCAGTGCCTGCATACAGTTAGAGATCTCAAAATCTGGAGTCCAGCTATTGCTCTTTCAGACTTCTGAAGAAAGCCGTGTGGTGGTTCCCTTAGCCACAGGCTGTATTTACTGTTCCTGGATATGAGCAAAGGACACCTGCTGATGGACCGTGATAAGAGGAACAGTGGCTCCCTCCCTGCCCACCTCTGTGTCCTCTCCTTTGACTGTTACCAGGGAGACAGACAGAGATTAACCAGGAGCCACCCATCAGAGCCCAGTAAGAAACAGGATTGAAATTTTCTTCAAAGAAAGCAGGGGGTTGAGAGCAAATTTGCAGATGTAAGGATTTTTTGTTTTAATCTAGACATTTGTTGCAATATTTGGCTGGAGTCATTTTTAACTGGAGTCAATTGCAGAGACGCAAGGCTCCCAGACAAAGATCAAAGCAAGAAGGCAGCAGAGAGGTGGTCCTTGTTCTGATTAAAGCTTTGCTGAACTCACATCTTTAGTCTGCAGTGCAGGATTTGTTTCATAACATTTCCTTTTCTTTATTAAAAAAATAATTAGGCCACATGTGGTATTTGTAAAACAGCAGAGACAGAGTCATGGATGCCTCTGAATGCCTTTGAAAAGGCCTCATTAATTTATTTGTCACAATGGCTTTAGCATTGGTTCAATTTTTAAAGGACAGAAATACTTTATTTTCTTATAAATTTGTAATGGAAATTGTTTCAGGCTCACTGCTTTGGCATGCTCTGCACTGCCCTTTCTACTCTCAGCTGATTAACTGAGAGGAAAGTTTGCTTTAACAGTGAAAGAGAAATTAGATTCTTTGGGTGACCCAAACTTAGTTTCTGACTCTGCCACATTTCTTCGGGAAGCTTTAGCCCTATTGCACTGTCCTCCTGCACACACAGATTGTCCTGGTTAACAATGGGGGGGATGCAGGAGTTAAACATGTCCAAATATGAAGTGTTCAGATGCTACAAGAGTGCGGAGAGGGCATGTAAATACCCACACAGGTCCCAGGTGTATCACTCAGAGCACAAGGGTGTTGAATACTATACAAAAACCAGGTAAGTAGCATTTTCTAAGTAGGCAAGTCAGCCAGGGCCAAAAACAGGACAGAGGAAGATGAGGTGACTTGCTAACCAGCTAGCAGCTGGCACAGGCATACAGATCTGAGCTTTGACATCACATTGTTCATTGACCCATGCAGCTTCTGGAGGTCCTGCCCAGCAATGTTTTGTCAATGCAGAGCAGGACAATCTGTGTGAAGTGATTTTACAGGAAGAACTGAAATCCAGTACTGACTTATTAGTGGCACACTCATAAAATTGCATTAGGCCATGTCCCAGGTGCTGCACATCAGGGCCTTATGGTGAACACCACATTGGTTAAATACTGTGTGAAGCTGTTTGCTTTCAAGGTGGATGAAAACAGGAAAGAAATGCTGGCATGGTTGTTTTAAAATGGATATTTGTTTTTAAGCCATAAAAACCATGGCAATAACGTTGGTTTTGCTCCAGGGGTAAGCAAATTCCAAATAAGGGCTTTCATGTGGGAGCAAAAGACAGTCTATCTGAATTTAAGGTTTTACACTATTGATCATGTACCAGATGAGCACCTTCTACAAACAGTTGGTAGCAATAGCAATTCTTCTCTGTTCTCCCTCAGGTAAAAACAAATTAAATGTCTTAGGGTATTTTTATTCCTTGGCTGGTATTGGTTTGCTGCTTTGACTAATATCTTTTTTTTAGTCTTGAGTCAGCTTTACTGGATTTCAATTTCGTTTTGCTATGATTTAATTTTGTGAAAGAAGGACTATTTGACAAGTGGAGTATCATGTATTCCAGGCACAATTTCTGACACAGAAAAACTCTTTTCTTTTAGACTTAGGCAGCTTTTGTAGTCTTTTGGCAACTGGGCTGATGCTGGTTTTCCCTCTATCAAATTTCTATCATAGCTGCGTCTCTTGTCATGTATTTTCTGTCACAAACAGCTCCAAATGAAATAAAAAGTGAAGTTGAACACACAGCTCACTGAATTATTTCTAAACCTCTGTGAACATAAGGGAATACAAGTAGGCTCGAACTCTTTCATAGGGAAACAGGGCAACAGCTGTTTGGGCTACAAGGAAACATTACATACCAACTATTTGTAGTCCATTGAGAAAGTAAACATCGACACCTTGTCTATTCCCCCTCCCCGATTCTTTCTTTGTCTGTGGTCTGTAGCCAACTAGTGATCATCAAGATAAGACAAAAACACATTAAGTCTTGAAAATCGTGTCTGGCTTCTAGCTGCCACTGGAGATAGCTCTATCAGTTAAACAAGTAAAACCCTGGGAGAGTGCTCTGCTGACTCCAGCACGCCTGGAGCCCATCCCTTTTAAGTCGCTTGGCAGTATTTCGCATTTAACTTCTGTGCATCCCAGCCACCCGCAGGAAATGCTCTTGGCATCTGACGTTTCCACAACACGCGGCAGGCCGGGCTGGATTCACTTTAACACCACGGGAAGCAGCAGACCTGAAGCCCCTGTTTAAAAGGCAAACTTCAGCCTAAATGCTTTGTTGAATAAGCAACATTTAAATAATTTCTGTAACATTTCACAAGTACACAGATGTGCTTCAAGTACCTGAATTAGATATAATGGCCAAATCTTCTCTAAGCAAGAGTCCCTCTGGCATTTGCATAATTTTTTTCTTGAATAATGTAGATTCATAAAATTACTCGATTCATAAAATCATTTAGGTTGGAAAAGACCTTTAAGACCACCAAGTCCAGCCATAAACCTAACACCACTAAGTTCCACTACACCACATCGCTAAATGTTACATCTACATGACTTTTGAATACTCCCAGGGAACACAACTCAACCACTTCCCTGGGCAGCCTGTTGCAACACTTGATAACTTTCCATGAAGACATATTTCCTCATATCCAGTGCAAACGTACTCTGGCACACCTTGATGGTATAATGTAATCTCATTCCAGACAATGAATATGTATTTAAAGCTAAATAATCAAAGCAAATGTTCCTGTTGCAAATGTTCTTGGCGAAACCAAAGACTTATCAAGAAATAGTCAAAGTAACACCCGGGACATGAATTGCAGCTTCTGATCATTAGAATCCTGGCAGCCTTTTTTCATAAATTCCTGCGTTTCATATTGTGTTTAAGACTGTAGAATGGAATTTTAAAATTTCAAAAAGAAAATATATTTTCTTGATAAATCCTAGCTTTAGGTTTCTATGTTAGTGTAGTTTTGGAAATAAGTTTATTACTCTGGGCTTTCTAACAAAAAACATTTGCAAACTCTTTAATTCAAGTACAGAGGTGTGTACTAAACTTTTTTCAAAACAAATAGTTGTATCCTGAAC